GCTAATCCATAAATTAACAACAAGTCATGCTTAGTTAGTTATTATCCAGGAGTAGGACTAGTGGTGGCTAGCAGCCTGATGGTCTGGGGGTAGAAGTTATTGGCCATTCTGTTAGTTTTAGCCATGATGCTCCTGTATTGCCCGCATCTAAGTGATGGAAGCTCGGAGAACAGGCCGTGACTTGGGTGGCTGAGGTCCCTGATGATCTTCTTGGCCTTCCCGCGACACCTTGTGTTGTAGGTGTCCTGGAGGGCAGGCAGTGTGCATCCAATGGTGCGTTCGGCTGAGCATACCACCCTCTGTAGTGCCTTGCTGTCAGCAGTGGAGTTGCCGTACCAGGCTGTGATGCAGCCTGACAGTATGCGCTCGATGTTGCTCCTGTAGAACACTGAGGGCCCTCAGGGAAAGGCCGTATTTCTTCAGCCTCCTGATGTTAAACAGTTGCTGTCGTGCCTTCTTCATCACGGTGTCCATGTGGTTTGACCATTTCAGCTCCTCTGAGATGTGTACGCCGAAGAACTTTAAGGTTTTGACCGTCTCCATTGCGGGCCCGTTGATGAGTATAGGGGCGTGCCCAGCCTGGTTCCTCCTGAGGTCCACAATCAGCTCCTTTGTTTTGCTGACGTTGAGGAAGAGTTTGTTTACCAGGCACCACACCGTCAGAGTGCCTACCTCCTCCCTGTAGGCCGCCTCGTCGGTGTTGGTAATCTGGGTTACTACTTTCGTGTCATCAGCGATGATGATGGAGTTGGAACTGTGTGAGGCCACGCATTCATGGTTATACAGGGGGTACAGGAGGGGACTGAGGACGCAGGCTTTTTGGACCCCCGTGTTGAGGATCAGTGTGGACGAGGCAGGGGTTGGAACCCAAATCATTTTCTAATCGTTTCATTCTAAACAGAACCACTATTTTTGTCATTCCGTTCCACTGTTCTGACCAGCAAAATAAAGTTCTAAACCGGTTTGCACCAAAAAAAAGTAACAGTTTATATCATTCCTTTCTGTTCCTTTTTTAACCTGTGAAATCTACAGTTTTTTATATTTAGCTCATTAAATTACTTTGCCAATCAGTGCGGATAGAGCAGGCAAGCTAGTTGTTTACATGCATGATGGACAGACAGGTGTAGCCTATGGCGCAAGATGTAACTGAAATTTAAGGGTGGGGAGAGAGTGAGAGAGGGTTGAGGAGCAGGCTTGAAGTGCTAGGCATCTTGTTATGACATGCATTATCTGAATTAGGTCCACAAAATTATACGTAGGAGGAGTGGCTTCTATTAAGTAAATTTGAATGTCCTTTGAGCTATCAAGCTAACAAGCTTGTGTGTGCAGAGCGGCACCAGAATGAATATCACGTCTTACCTTTTTGTAGGTAATAAATCCAATGATAAACTAGGCCTATAGTATCCTTAAGTAGCATTGAAAAAGTTAATCCATTCTTCTCTAGCTAATAGAAATCTCTCTCCCTATCTTTTCACACTTCTAACGTCAGTACAGTAGCCTATGCTTCGGAGGGGGGAGGGGCAGGTAGCCTAAACACGCACACACAAACTGGCAAAGATTTTCAGTTTGCAGGCAGATGCTGGAATACGTTTCTGAGTGACAGAGTGAGGGTTTTGCATAGGCACTTTTGTTGCGTTTTTTTGTGAGAATAAAATGCCTGGAACGTAAAATAAAGTTATTAACCGGTTTCCGTGCTTTTAAAATAACGGTTATGGTCCGTGAAAATTTTTGTTCTTTTCCGGTTTTCGGTTCTGTTCCCTGAACCGGTTCCAATCCATTTGCATAGGGAGGAGTTCAGTCCCAGGGCTGTGAGCTTTGTGGTGAGCTTAGAAGGCACTATGATATTGAAGGCCGAGCTGTAGTCGATGAACAGCATCCTCACATATGTATTCCTCTTGTCCAGATGGGTGAGGGCAGTGTGCAGTGCAATGGCGATTGAGTCGTCCGTGGATCTGTCGGGGCGGTAGGCGAATTGGAGGGGGTGGAGTGTGTCGGGAAGGGAGGAGAAATGTAGTCTTTGACTAGCCTCTCGAAGCACTTCATGATGACGGAAGTGAGTGCTACGGGTCGGTAGTCATTCAGTTTAGTTACTTTCCCTTTCTTGGGCACAAGGATGATAGTGGACATCTTGAAGTAGGTAGGGATAACGGCCTGAGCTAGAGAGAGATTGAAAATGTCAGAAAACACAACAGCTAGCTGGTCTGCACATGCTCTGATGGCGTAGCTAGGGATGCCATCTGGTCCGCCAGACTTGCGAGAGTTAACACGTTTGAATGACTTAGATACGTCCTCCTTGGAGACCGTAAGCACGTAACACTCGTTGTCCTCAGGGGTTCTCCTCGGCAGTTCAGAGTTGTTTTGCACGTAGCTCATCCAGTTGGTGTCCACGACATGACTGGCTTTCTTTTTGTAATCCGTGATCGTTAGAAACCCCTGCCACATATGCCTAGTGTCCGACCCGCTGAATTGCTCCTCCACTTTGTTCCTATACTTGTGTCGT